CGATGAAGCTGCTCGGCCAGCCAGCGTTCCATGCCCGCCAGCGCAGCGGCTCGGCCGCTGGCGGGCCCCTCGGCGCGCACGCCGTAGGCCGTCCCAAATGGCTGGGCCTGCGCGCCGCCACCTGGCTGACCTGCACACAGGGCATGGGCAAGCTCACCAAGTGGAGGCGCGGCTTCCTCTTCAAGTGCCTCTGTGGCGGGGTGCCGCACGCAGGCAGCAGAGGAAGTCGCGGGCCCTAGTGTTCGCCGACCCGCCCCCGCGATGTCGATGCTGAGACCTCGAGGAGGACCCCCCCAAGCTCGCGGGCTTGCGCTGCGCCTACTTCGCCCGTCAGCGCCTTGATTGATGTCAAGGGTTTCAGAGGCACGATGGCGCATTTATCCATAGCGCACTTCGCGCTGCGGCCTCCTCGACCAGGGCACGGGCTTCCTCGACCTCAATGTCGGCCCGTCGTGTGACCCGCTTCCGTGGCCATTCCCTAGGCCGGCGGCGTGTGCCGTCTTCTACGGAATTGACAACACCGTCTTACTTACGCCGCTAGAGTTCATGGGCTGTCGCATAGCACACAGCGCGCTGAGACCCTGGCTCCACCTCATCTCCATGGCGGAGCGGCTCGTCCACAGCTTCGTCGACAGCTGGGCCGTGGTCGGCGGATTCCAAGCTCTCCTGTGCGGGGAGCGGCCCCTCACCACTGGCTCCCACTTCGGCTTGTGGGCACACGTTCGCCGGGCTGCTCTGGCGAAGCCTGACTCATTGGTCCTAAACATACCCTTACCCGGGGTCGGCCTGGGTGGACAGGGCCGTCCGCAGGATTTGGCGCTTGCCACTGCGCCCGTTCAGCCTGCCGCGTGCGCGCTGGTTCAGCATCCGCGCGTCAGGACGCAACGACGCGCTGAACGGCTGGTTGTTTGATTGCAGCGACATGCCCTGGATTGCGTCAGGGACGTCTGTGGGCATCGGGGGTGTCCGCGGGGTTTAGAACAATATTGGAGTGGTGGTGTCTGCCCCCTTTGGGGACAGGCACCACCACTCCGTTGCGTTGGGGCCTGCCCGCAGGAGCGTCGTTGCAATCTCGCGCTCCCCCGGGGGCCGCTGCGGCCGCATTCGGGAGCGCTCTCGGGGGCCGCGCGTGCGCCCGAGAGCGATTTCGTCCAAACGCCACCTCGACAGGGTACGCGCGTCGGCGACTGTCCCCCCGACACGTACCCGGACCTAGCTGGGGTGACGCCAGGCGGGTTTTCCAGGTCGCAGCCCCTGGCGACCGCGCCTGACGTTCGCAGGCGTTTGGGGCGAGCGCGGGATTGCAGCGGCGCCCGCCCAGGACACCCAGGACGCATTTTGCGCGTCGAGCCCCAAACGCTTGATTGTGCGTTCGTGGGCGCACCTCCGAACGAGCTACTCTAGCCCGAGAGCGACCAATGCGTGGTCGGCCACTCTGCCGATTGGAACGCGCGCGCCTTCGGTGCCAGCGGATGCCCGGAGAAGTCAGTGTCCTGTAATGTCCCATGGGCCGCCGCCGTCGGCTGCGGCGCGTCGCTCCCCCCGCCCATTGCCACCCCGCCTGGGTAAGGGTACAGGTAGCTCTCGCGCTCGAGACTGACATGGCTCGGGTCGAAAAAGTCGCCAGTCACTCAGGCCTGGCTGGCATCGACGCAGGCCTGATTTCGGCCACTGCCGCACGCTCCAACCGTCAGCCCGACGATCTCGCCAGGAGCGCCGTCGACTTGCGCGGCCGCCCTGCCAAGGTCGCGCGCGCTTCCAGCTGCCTAGTTTGGTGTCGCCGCCCGTTTGACGCGGTCCTCCACGGCGTGGCGGTGGATATCTCTGCGGCCTTCGGCCTCGCGCCCTCCCTCTGCCGCGCCGCCGTGCGGGCTGCGCCGACTGGGGGCTCCGCTGGCTGGGCCCCCGCCCCGGAGGCGGCGGCGGCGGCCCTCTTGCGGCCTCCGCCGACGACTGGCCGCCGGGCGTCCAGCGCGCGGATCTGGATTCGGCGTGGGGAGAAACCCACTTGGAGGCCGACGACGACTGCGCCCCGTTCGTTTTCGGGGGGTCTCTCGATCACCATGACGACGGCGCACCCGCCGCCCCTGGCTTCGGGAGAGTGGCTGTCGAGGGCAGTCTCCACGGTCACGCCTCCCTCCATGGGCCACCCTGAGGACCGCGGGGCGGCTGGTGTCTCGTGAGGGGCCCACCCAGGCCGAACGGGCACCCTGCCGCGGTGCCGCGCACCTTCGCCCCCCCCCCCCCCCCTCCCCCCATGGGCGCCCCAGTGCGCTTTCGCCATTTGGCGCTGAGGCCTGAGGCCCATTCCTGCGGGGGTCTTTCGTGTCCTCCGCCAGCGTGCTGCAGCGCCAGCCTCGAGTGCTGGGCGCGCGCCCCGCCAGCCCGAGCGGCACCCGAGGCCTGGCGCCAGCGGCACTTCCAGTGCTGGGCGGCTTCCACGGCAGCCTGAACCCGCTCCTCCTCCTCCTCCTCCTCCTCCTCCTCCTCCTCCTCCTCCTCCTCCTCTGGCCTCCTCTCCTCCTCCTCCCTCCTCCTCTCCTCCTCGTCTCCACTGTCCTCCACTGTCCTCCTCCTCCTCCTCCTCCTCCTCCTCCTCCACCTCCCCCTCCTCCTCCTCCTGAGCACCGTGCCGGGCTCCTGGATACCTGTCCAACTGGGTCAACCCCCACCGTTGCGAGGCCCGCGGGGCCTCCAGAAGCGACTCGCCTCCAGTGACCTGTCGCGCCCTGCTCGCGCCAAGCTGCGGCCACCTCCAGGACCCCACCTCGCCCGCGGGCGCGCGCGCGCGCGCTCGTGCGTCTTGCTGGATACTCCTCTCCGTGGCCGCCCCTGGCGGCCAGGCCGACGCGACGGGCCCTGGGCCATTGCCCAGCCCTGGTGGGCCCTGCGAGGCTCCGAGCAGGTGCAGAGTTGATGTCTTCACAGAACAGCATCACGAGCAGCTGCGACCTGGATGGTCTAGACGGGAGCGTGCTACAACGTGGTCCTCGCGCCAGTGGGATGGAGCGAACTCGGCCTCGCGGGCGCTGCGATCGTGCTCCAGGTCGGGTTCGGGCAGTGGCTGGCGGCCACGATGCGAGCTGCGCTGAGGGGGGCCGAGCACAACGAGGTGTTGGATAGAGCCGTCCGCTGAGCGCCTGGCTTTCTCGGCCTCCCCTCCTTCCTCCCTGCCTCCATCCCCCCCCTCCTCCTCCCCCCTCCCTCTCTCCCGTATCTCCCTTCTCGTATTCATCATACGATAACCGCTATGGCCACACCGCTAGAATACTAGAATACCGGAGACCTGCCTCTTCCCTCTCTTGCTCCCCCCCTCTGTGTCATTGTCCGTGTCCGTGTCCTTGTCCTTGCCCTTGCCCCTGTCCTTGTCCTTGTCCTTGTCCTCCTCCTCCTCTCATTCCTCCTCCCTCACTGCCTGCGCCTCACTTTTTGACCGTTGTTACCGTGTTGAGCGTTTGCTTATCTTACCCACCTCGCCCGGCTGCGTGGGCGGTCGGAGCAAGACGCGCGGCGATCGATGCTTTTATCTGCGCCTGTCTCTGTCTTTGTCTCCGCCTCTGCCTCTGTCTATTCTATGTCTCTCTCTCTCTCTCTGCCTCTCTACCTCTGTGTCCCCCTGCCTCTGTCTTCCTCCCTGTCTCTGCTGCTTTGTGCTGGCCCCCTCTCTCTCCCCATCTCTCTCTCCCCCTCCGGGAGGCCGCGCGGGGACGCGGAGGCGGCCCGTCGAGCCTCGCCCAACACTCTCGGAAAAGCTCGCGCGGCGCAGACGGACACTCTCCGGAGGCCCGCCCGGGCTTCCCGGGCCGGCGTGGGGCCCCCCCTCGGCGCCCCGGCGGCGCCGCCGGCGTCGCTTCGAGAAATCCGGGCGGACCTCCGACAGTCTCTGCTGGTGCCAGTCCTCTTTCAAGAGGGAAAAAACACACAGACACAATTAATCGTCGAGTCCCAGGAAAACATGGGAGAATATGGGAAGTGGGGGGGAAGACAAAAACCCAGAAAATATGGGAAAATATGGGGAATATTTTTATTTGTGTGTATTTATTTGTGTGTCCTGGGGCCCCTTCACTCTTCTGCGACCCTCTGCCACTTGTCGGTGAGCTTCCTGCCACTTCTGCCATCCATTCGGACGTCCCCTGTCCGCCGCTTGGGAAGCTTGCGCGGCTGGCCTGCAGTTGGAACAGTATTAACAAGGATTACCCAGTGCGACCCTACCTAGAGATTGGAGCCCCTAGGAAAGCAGCATTAGTTGCTATGCTATGCTATGCTATGCTATGCCATGCCATGCTATGTTGCGCTATGCTATGTGATGCTATGCTAATGCAGCGCTGCGCTATGCTAAGCTAAGCTAAGCTAAGCTAAGCTAAGCTAACCCTCTAGGCAGAGCCTAGGTAGGGAATTACACCCATGCTAATATGCTGTGCTGCGCTATGCTACACTACGCCATGCTATGCTATGCTGTGCTCTGCTAAGCCAAAACTCAGCGAAGCTAAGATGAAGGCAAGCTAATCAAATATAAGCATGAGCTAAGATGAAGCTAAGCTAAGCTAAGATGAAATAAGCTAAGCTAAGATGAGATAAGCGACGCTAAGCTAAGGGGACGTAACTGGGGGAACCGCGGGGCGGATACTGGGGGAACCGCCCGGGGCGCTTTCCACTGCCCGGCCCCTTTAAGCCCAGAGAGTAAGAACCCTTCTAGGCAGAGCCTAGGTAGGGAAACAAGTGCGCTGGGGTTACGCGGGCGGCGTATCTACGCAATAGTGGTTCATGAGGGGTACGGCTCCTTCCTTATGCGTATAAGAAGAATCTTCACATTGATTGGGAATATTATTAGGTTTGAAGTTTCCGACCTCTGGGCAACTCCTCACTCCTATCCATCCTTGCGGGTGATCTGATCGGAGTGGTGAGGGTCACGACGCGCGGACTGATCCTGTACACATCGTGCGCGAGCAATTCTTTCTTTACAGGATGATGGAGCTCGAGGGTCGAATCTTCGAATTTCTATGATTCGCAGCCATCGTGGCTCAAGATTGTCAGTCTTCAGTTGTCTGTGGAGTATTGGCACATACATGTGCATGAGAAGGACAAGTCCCAGGATTTGGGCTTTGCTGCCGCTGGTTGCCCAGGGGTACCGCGACTCCTGGCAGGATTCCACCTTGGAGGTGTCTGCAGCCTCAGCCGCCACCCCGTCCGCTGAGGCCAATACCGTCCAGAGAGGGCCAGGGTCGGAGTGGGCTAGTGATTGCGAGGCTAACCCCCTGCAGTGCGCGAACGACGCCATCCCCAACGCCTGCAACTCAAGCCTCAGCAGTTGCAGGGCTGTCGTGTCCACGGTGCACCTCCTGAGCATTGACACTGATTCGCGGGTGAGAAGCGCAATTGCCGAGATATCCATCCCGGCAATCTGTGCACGTGCAGCGGACTTGTGCGAGGAGGTCTTTCTGTTGGTGGCAAACATTAGCAGCGATGAGTCGGAGTTCGTGAGGCAGAGTGTCGCTGAGCATGCGCTCCCAGCGGCTTGCAACGCCGCGCGCTGCCACGCAGTGTTCCCATATCTGCTCAGCCTCAGCGAGGACCCAAGTGTGAAAGTAAGAAGGGCCATTGCCGTGTACGCACTGCCTGCAGCGTGTGCTGCCGATCTATGTGAGCAGGTGCTCCCAGTCCTGCTCAGGATGAGCAGGGACTTGAGCAATAATGCGGAGCCGGTCCGAGAAGCAGTCGCCTCGGCTGCCCTTCCTGCGGCGTTTGAGGCGCGCGTCGGCTGCAGCGCAGCGCTGGCCATTCTGCAGGTGTTGGAGGACGACGAGAATATGGTGGTGAGGGCTGAAGTTGCCAGGCTCTCCTTGCCTGCCGCCTGCACTCATGGCTGCTGCGATGCTGCCATCCAGTCTCTCATACGTCTCGGCAAGGACAAGAAGCCACGAGTGAGGAAAAACATAGCCTGGTACGCTTTGCCGCTGGCTTGCAGCTCGAATCGGTCAAGAGATCTCATTCCGACAATATCTTCGTTAACGATGGACGGTGAGGCCGGAGTCAGAACTCGCACTGCACGACGCCTCCTCCCCGCGGCGTGCAGAGCTGGACTCTGTGGAGGCATGCTGTCCGACATGCAGAGGCTTGCGACCGACAGTGGCGATGTGGTGGAGCCGCTTGCTCACAATGCTGTGCCGCGGGCGTGCGCAGCGGATGCGGGTCTTTGCGAGAAGCTCATGCCCACAATTCAGAGTATGGGCCACCACCCAGGAGAGAAAGTGAGGCTCGCTGTGGCAGACACCGCCTTGGCAGTCTGTACGGGCACTCTCTGCGACCAGTTCCTGCCGTTACTGCGCAGCTTGAGCAATGATACAAGCGCTCTTGTCAGCGCCAGTGCCAAACGGAGCTTGCACGTATGCGCTCAACGAAGCCAACTCCGCGCTGAGTACGCCGCAATCGGGGACCTCTCGAGGCAGGCAAACCAGCCAATGGCGTTCAGCGTTGATCATGTGCTGCAAGTCCCCGCTGGGGTCGCGATGACTCTGGCGGGCCGGCATCCTGTCAAGTTGGCTGCGCACCGGTGCCCCAATTGGAAAGCCTGCCCAGGAAATAATGGCACACGTCTCAGCGCAGATCCTTCTTCGAGCCAGCCCACATGCGGTCTTCGGACCGTATCCCCTGGCCCCTGCGAAGACGGCTTTGACCCAGAGGTGCCAGGTTGCGCAGGGTGTCTACATGAATACCGTCGGTCGACCACAGATCCGTTCAAGTGCAAAGCATGCGGGAAGTACGTGTCCGACATCCTCTGGTTTCTCCTAGCTCCGCTTGGCGTCTTCCTGGTCGGCATGAAGTCCGCGCTGAACCCGAAATCCGAGCGCTTCGGCAGTCTGTACAAGATAACCATGGCATACGTCACGTCTTCCTTCTTGATCCTGAACGCGCTGCTGTCTTCACCCATTGGCAAGGACATCGCTGGAAAGGCAATGGGAACAACCAATATGTCCATTGCGGCGTCTGAAAACAATGGGCGCCCAACCATATCTAAATAGTACCGTCTGTACATAAGTGTACACATGTACAGTTTTCGGAACATGTGTGAGAAATCATATGCAACATCGCCTGATCGATGGAACGCAGCTGAAACAAATCCATATGCTGGGAGAGTTTGTGGGCACCCATGTGATGTCACATTGTCATGCCCTTTTAGCCCTCCCCCTGGATATTGCCCTTCCCATGGAACTCATGTTTGCAAGGCTCGGAACGCTTTTAGCTTGTCGCTCACGGCTGCCGATGGGATCTCGGGCTTCAAAGTGGGCACTATCGACTGCTTGCTGGGGCGGCCAGCAGACGTGGGCGAATGGATTGTGGCCTCCAACGTGGTGCTCTGGGGCAGAAAGCGTGTAAGCGCTGGCGCGTGGACTTGCTTGATCGTCCAATGTCATTGTGGGCCCCCTGAGGCTCTCGACCCCTTCTCCAGGGACAGCGTCTCGTCCCAGCAACGGCCTCCAGAGGCCGAAGCTTGCGAATCGCTTGCCGCTTCGCTTCTTGCTATGGCGCCAGGATCGGAGCGTTGCGCTACGCCACCCCCTCATGAGAGGATCAGAGTCCTCCTGGTGGCTTCCGCTCTCACTCAGTGGGCCCAGCTGGGCATCCCCGGGCCCCCCTCTGGCCCAGTGGAGCTTGCATTTGGCACTTGCAGCGCCCTCATCGTCTGCAGAGTTGCAGGTAGAGGTGCGCTTGGAGGATGAGGAGGTGGAGGAGGAGGTGGAGGACAAGGATGAAGACGAGCGAGTGGAGGTGGAGGTGGATGAAGCGGACGAGGAGGAAGTGGAAATGGCCGCGGAGGTGGAGAAGGTGACAGTGGAGGCTTGGTGGAGGAAAAGGAAGGACGCACAGGAGGAAGTTGAGGCGAGGGTGGAGGTGGAAGTACATAGGGGAGGAGGAGGAGGAGGAGGAAGAGGAGGAGGAGAAGGAGGAGGAGGAGGAGGAGGAGGAGGAGGAGGGGGAGGACGAGTAGGACGAGTTGGACGAGGAGGAGGAGGAGGAGGAGGCATGGAGGAGGAGCGCGTGTGTGCTGTGAGTCCTAGGCGGAGGTTGGGGGATGGAGGTGGGGGGGTCGATGTGCTTGTGTGGACTGACGTGTGGTTGAAGGAGGAGGTGGTACAGGAGGTGGAGGAGGGTGGAGGTGGAGTTGCAAGTAGATGGCGGAGGAGGAGGAGGAGCAGGTGTGGGGGGGAAGCCGAGGAGGAGGAGCGTGGAGAGGGCTGGACATGAAACTGGAGATGGAGGTGGACAAGATGGAAGACCAAGAGGAGGATGATGTTGAGGAGGAGGAGGACAAATATGAAATGGGTAGTGGGGAAGAATTATTGACAGTAAGAGTAGTCGTAGTAGTAGTAGTAGTCGTAGTAGTAGTAGTAGTAGTAGTAGTAGTCGTAGTCGTAGTCGTAGTCGTAGTCGTAGTCGTAGTAGTCGTAGTCGTAGTGATAGTCGTAGTAGTCGTAGTCGTAGTGTAGTAGTAGTAGTAGTTCGTAGTAGTAGTAGTAGTAGTAGTATAGTAGTAGTAGTAGTAGTAGTATAGTAGTAGTAGTAGTAGTAGTAGTAGGTAGTAGTAGTGGTAGTAGTAGTAGTAGTAGTAGTAGTAGTAGTAGTAGTGTAGTAGAGTAGAGTAGTAGTAGTGTAGTAGTAGTAGTGTAGTAGTAGTAGACGTAGAAGTGAAGTAGAAGTAGTAGTAGTAGTAGTAGTCGTTAGTCGTAGGCTAGGCGTGGCTGGTCGTAGTCGTAGTCGTTGTCGTAGTTCGTAGTCGTAGTCGTAGTCGTAGTCGTAGTCGTAGTGTAGTCGTTTAGTCGTTAGTAGTAGTCGTTAGTGTAGTCGTAGTCGTAGTGTGTAGTAGTAGTAGTAGTAGTAGTAGTTAGTAGTATTAGTAGTAGTAGTAGTTAGTAGTAGTAGTAGTAGTGGTGTAGTAATAGTAGTAGTGGTAGTAGTAGGTGTAGTTGTAGTTGTTGTAGTTAGTAGTAGTAGTGTAGTAGTAGTAGTAGTTGTAGCAGTAGGAGTAGAAGTCGTAGTGTAGTCGTAGTCGTAGCGTAGTTGTTCGTAGTAGTAGTAGTAGTAGTAGTAGTAGTAGTGTAGTAGGTCGTAGTAGTAGTAGTAGTAGTAGTAGTAGTAGTAGTAGTAGTAGTTAGTAGTAGTAGTAGTAGTAGTAGTAGTAGTAGTAGTAGTAGTAGTAGTCGTAGTCGTAGTCGTAGTAGTAGTAGTAGTAGTAGTAGTAGTAGTAGTAGTAGTAGTAGTAGTAGTAGCAGTAGCAGTCGTAGTGCAGAGCGCTCATTTCTAATTCGTGGGCACACCGCTGCCGACCCCATCCAGTCGGCACCTCTCGTTTGTAATTCGTGGCCGGATTTGGAAATGACCGGAATTAGAAACGAGGAATGCGCTTGCCTGTGCGCGTGTGTGCGATTGTGATCGTGTGTGTGTGTGTGCGGGTGTGTATGTGTGCGTGCGTGCGTGCGTGCGTGCGTGCGTGCGTGCGTGCGCGTGTGTGTGTGTGTGTGTGTGTGTGTGTGTGTGTGTGTGTGTGTGTGTGCGTGCGTACGCGTGTGTGTGCTTGTGCGTGTGTGCGCGTGTGCGTGTGTGTGTGCGTGTGTATGCCCGCGTGCGTGTGCGTAGTTAAGTGTGTGCGTGCGTGAGGGGGAGAGAGAGAGAGAGAGAGAGAGAGAGAAAAAGAGAGAGAGAGAAAGAGAGAGAGAGAGAGAGAAAGAGAAAGAGAAAGAGAAATAGTAAGAGAGTGAGAGATAGAGGAAGAAAGAGAGGGAAAGAGAGAGAGAGTGCGTGTCTCGACGGTGCGCGCGAGGCCGCGACCGCCAAAAAATGCGCGCGCGTGTGTGCGCCCGCGACACGCGCCCTGGGCCAAGACAAATTCTGGCCCTGGTGCAAACTATGGCCCCGGAGGACCCCTGGCTGGAGGGCCCCTGGCTGGAGGGCCCCGGGCCCAGGCGCACTGTGGCCCCGGCGGGCCCTGGGCCGAGGTAAATTCTGGTCCCGGCGGGCCCCGTCTCTGATGCAAATTATGGCCCTGGCGGGCCCTGGGCCCAGGCGCACCGTGGCCCCGGCGGGCCCCGCGGGCCAAGGCAAATTCTGGCTCCGGCGGGCCCCGGCCCTGCTGCAAAATATGGCCCCGGCGGGCCCCGGGCCCAGGCGCACCCTGGCCCCGGCGGGCCCCGGGTCAAGGCAAATTCTGGCCCCGGCGGGCCCCGGTTCTGCGATATCGTCAAATCTAAGATATGAGAGTTAAGTTGGAGTTGTGGAAGTTAGATTGATGTTGTGGAAGATTTTTTTTCAAGTTTTGCATGTTTTCCAGAAATATATCTTCATCCGATCTTAAACCATTCTAAACCTACTTTCAACCTATCTTCAACCATTCTAATTCTTGTATCCCTAACAGCAGTAACGCACTACCGAAAAGGCTCCTCGAACCTATGCCGAAGGAGGTCGAGGAGAGAAAAGGATGGTGACTCAGATGATGATGTTGGCGCTGCGTGTGCGCACGCTCCACACCTTCCGCCACGCGCCAGCGGGCTCTGCCGCCACCTCCTGGGCGCGCCTGGCAGCGGTCGCTGCCGGCGCACCCCCTGCTGTGGTCCGGGGGCGCAGGGCAGCCTGCGGCGGCAGGCCGCCGGCGCTCCCGGGGGTTCTTCGCGCGCCGGCGCCTACGCGGCACCCGCGCGGGTCGCGGCCAGGCGGCCAGGCGGCGTGCGCTGTGTGCGCCGCCGGCCGCTCCTCAGCCTGCACCGCCGTCCCCATCACGACGGCACTGCAGTTGCGAGTTCTGCGCCAGGCCTGCCGAGGGAAAAGCCCACGGGCCTGGCCGGCTGGGAGCTCCAGCGCGGCGCCAGCTGCCCTCGGGCGCCCAGCCGCCGCCGCCCCAGCGCCCCGCCGCCCGCGAGCGCACCGCTGCCCGCGGGCGCTTGAAACGCCGCGCCCGGCGCCGAGCGCCGGCGCGGGCTCCGCGCGCCAGGCCGAGGCCGGCGGCGGAGGCCTCTCTAACCTCTCTCGCTCGCCAGGCCCTTGGCCGGCGGCGTCGCCGGTCAGCCGCGATGCGGCTTGGTGGCCACCTCTCGCGTGACCTCATCTCCGCGCTGGAAGCCCTGGTTCTTGTGGAAGTAGCGGGTGCCGTTGTAGTGTACCGGCCCCTGGGCCCCCGCGTCGCAGTAAGTCACCTTGGGCTTCCTGGGCGGCCTCCGATTATCCTCCACCACTTCCTCCGGCATTCCGCGCGAGCCCTGGGGCCGGCGGTCCTGCCTCGGGCTGCACCAGCAGTGCCAGGCCATTGCCAAAGCCGTGGCCAGCACCACCACCAGGGAGACGATGAGCTTCACCATGACCTCCGTGGGGATCGTGCTGGTGACGTCCCCCCTGTCCCCAGTCAGGCGCACGCTGACGTGCCCCTGGTCCTCCTTCACCGTCGCCAACTCCTGGCCGGTCGCCGCCGCCTGCCCCAGCGTGGCCGCCGCCGCGGCTGCGGCTCCGAGAGCCGGAAAGCCTCCGGGGGAAGCTCGCCTGGCGCTACCGCCAGCGGCTCCCCGGTGGCCCATCGGGCCACCTGGCTTTTGTCTTGGCGCCCTTCAGAGCTGACATGGGGGCGATGGAGGAAATTGTTGACGCTTCGCGTATCCCCACCAGCCCCTTCCACCCGCTGGGTCTGGGCCGAAACATCTCGGTGTGGTAGTCTCTCGGAACATGGGTACACCTTGATGTCGTTCTGGCGCCGCGGCTCGCTGCCGCCGTCGGGATCCTCGTTGGACTTCCCACCCCGTCGTCTGTGCTACCCGACAGGCTGGGGCTGACGTCCTCGGGTCGTTCCCTTGTCCGCACCTGGACGTTGGAACATTATCGCGCCGTCTTGGCTGCGCTAGGTCGTCTCGGTGCCTACCTCAGGCCTGTTGGACGCACCCGCATGCCCGTTCAGGGGCTGTCATGGCACCTGGATTGCATCGGCTTCGCCCCCCTGGACGCTGTCGTGAGCCGCCTGATCCGCGGCCCTGCGCGCGTTAGGTAATTTAGTCGCGTCCGCGGCCCGTTCGCGACCTTCCGCCGCTGGCGCTTCAGTCGAGAGACGACGGACGAACGATCGAGAGAAGAGGGCCGAGGGAGGAAGGAACAGGCAGGAAGGAGGAGGAGCAAGCGGGCGCGGCGCTCTCGCCCACCCCCTCGCCCCTGGAGGGAGGGAGGGAGGGAGGGAGGGAGGAAGGGAGGGAGGGAAGGAGGGAGGGAGGGAGGGAGGGAAGGAAGGAGGGAGGGAGGGAGGGAGGGAGGTCAGGGGGGGCATTTCACACTCCAGTGCCTTCACGAGTGGGCGGGTTCTGGGGAGCCCTCATGGTCAGGACTGGGTCCCCCTCCCATCTCATGCGTGGGTTGGGTTGGGTACAGCCCTTTGCCTCAAGCAGGACGGGCCGATATTTGGGGCTTCGTCGGCAGGCGCACGTTTAGGCATTAGCATAGGCACAGCACATTCTTGGTTAATGTTTTCTGCTCCGCCCAGGTGCCCCTGTCACTGCTGTTCATATCGATCGTGGTCGCCTCAGCTTGGGGTTGCATGTGCACCACTGACGAGGGCCTCGTCACTCTTGTGGTGCGGCCCATCCTCGTTGTTACCAATAGCTTTCTCCCATCGATGCTCACAGCATTCTTGCACAGCTGGCCGTGCTATCATACACAGAAGATGGGCGACCTCACCGAACGGATGATGATGTACCAAATCAGGAGCCCATGTCCCAGCTATACCTCATGGCACTCCTTGCTGGGTGTCATTGGTTGTACTCTGCTTCTGGCCAGTGGGCCAGGCTTGTGGTGTGTGCTGTTGGCCATGTCTGAGAAGGGTGATGAAACCGACTACGCGGAGCGCCAGAGGTGGGATGCCCGCCTCATGTTCTTGACGGGTGCCTACAAAGCCAAGACGCGGTGGTGGGAAGTTGTAGTCATGGTGCGAAAGGTGGCTTTCGCCATCATCGTGGCACTCTGCCCGCAGTCATACGCGTTGGGCACCCATTTGCTCGCTGTTCTCATGGTCCTTGGCGTGGCACTGTCATTACATTTGACGGTGAGGCCGTATGCCGTGCCTGATTCTGAGTGTATTGCACAGGACGGTAAACCGCTCTTCTCGTTGAATTTGCTCGAGGCAAGCTCCCTCACCATCAGTTTCTTGTGCATGGGTGCCACAGCGTACGTGACCACCGATACCTGGTCGCAGTCAAAGCTGGTCAGCCTCACCCTGGTGCACGCTGCAGTGTTCCTGCTCTCAGCTTTCGGCACGCTGCTGTTCTGCCTGCTCGCCTATGAGGGCCTCCCAAAGCTGAAGGGCATGGCGCGTGCTTCAATCTTCTCCTCGGGCGAGACGGCGACTCTGGAGAGCTCGGCCGAGGGGCAGCAGTCCGAGGACAGCGGCGTCTCCGGGGACCGGTCGGCCACTCTCTTGCCCCCCTCCTGCGCCCTGCCTCTCCTGCTCCTCCTCCTCCTCCTCCTCCTCCTCCTCCTCCTCCCCCTCCTCCTCCTCCTCCTCCTCCTCCTCCTCCTCCTCCTCCTCCTCTCTTGCACAGGAGGTGCGGTCGGGAACTTTTAGATAGCGTCTCGCTCCGCCTGTTCCGGTCCACCACGCCGCGGTGGGACACGGTATCCACGTCCCAGTCCGGAGGCGTCCACGTCCCGAGTTTTCCCCGACCTCTCGCCCCGTGGAGCGGAGCGACGTGCTATCCATTTGCAAGGCATAGCGAGTCGCCAGGGCCGCCGCTGTGACACGCTAGGCAGCAGTTTCCGACCTTAGGGACACCTTCTGAGGCGAGGATGGTTTCGAAGGCTTGCCTCCTGCTTCGCGCACAGTGTGAATTTGAGCGATGAGATTATGTATACGTCGCAGATCACAGCGCGGCCTCAGCAACGCAACGCACGCCCTCCCGACGCTTCGTTTGCCCATTGTTCTTTTTGAGTGCCCCCCTTGAGGATCACTCACGCATGCGCAGGATAGGAAAGGAACACATCGAAGACGCCTACGGCGAATCACCGCCGCCCCATGACTCCTGTGTGGCCTAACGTTGGGCCAATTTTTGGCCAAGCCATTGGACTATGTGTCCCCCCAGCCGTCGTGAAATCCCTTGCGGGCCCGGACAGACCTCCCACCCAGACAAGACGATTGAGGAATTGTCCTGGGACCTTCATTTATTTTTTTCAAACTTGCATGGGTTCGCACCGTCGCGCCTCGTGTGCGTTGGCGTCGTACTGGTTGCAGCGGTCGTCGAGGCGTCGCGCGCAAACGCGCAATCAATCAAATTCAAAACATGGACGTTGCAGTTGCTAGGACATCTCTTGCAAGTGGAACGCAGGCCCGCGCTCGTCCCGCCTGGTGCAGAGGCAAGGGGGGCGTGCAAGCAAATTGTAGTAAGATGTGGAAGGGCTGTGGCCAGAATAGGGGGGCCCATCAGGCAATCGCATTCTCATGCGCACAATACGAACTACCCATTAAAGAGGGTTACGCATGTCAACTGTGCTACTCACGGCGCGCATCGCGCGCCAATAGTTCTAGCGTTCGTTAGTGAATGGCGTAAGTCTACAATTGTGGTTATTATCTGTCTCCTCCTTCGCCCTGTTACTACCCCCCCATCGCTTCGCCGATCTGGCACGTTCAGTGTACGGCATTGAAACACACGGGCGCCCTAGTTTCGCACGGTTCCTTCCCTTACTACGACCCTTTTGCCTTGATTGAGCGGGGTCTGGAGGCCCGCTGCCACAGCGGCCGTCGGCGATGCGTTTCGGGGGAACTTAGAGCAGTTGCCTATGTGAGCAGATCGTGAGTACATTCGCCAGCCAGTAGCGCTTGTGGCAATCGGTAATGTCGCCCATGGGATTTCTGGGTGTTTCAGTTGTCGCCCAGTCCGCGTTGGCTGGCTCATTCTGTCGTTTGGCCCGCTAAACTTGTGTCCCTGCCAATATCCAACCGCCTCGCGCACTCGGCCAACCTTTCTTGCGTCGGAGTTGCCATCATCTTGAGTGCTCGCGGCGATTGGGAAGTCCCTGAGAGGCGGTAGTGCCCCAAGCAGTGGTGTGGAGCTCGGGCTGGGGAGCAGCAGTCGCCAGGAATACGTAGCACCCTGCAACTGCGGATAAGAGTTAGGGCGCGGGCGGATGGGCGCGGCGCCTGCGACGCCTGCTTCGCGACCCGCCTGCGACCCATCGGCCCCGCCACCCGCCCGTCTTGAAGGGGCGCGAAAGCCCCTGGGGGCTGCAGAGGGAGGAGAGAGGAGGGAGGGAGGAGACGCGCGCCTTAGAGGGAGGGCCCCTTCTGCACTCGAGGCCTCGTGTGCCCTCTTGGAGCCTTATCGGGGAGTCCCGAAAGGGCCCCCCAGAGGGCCCCATGAAGGCTCCATGATCATGGAGGCGTCTTGGGGCCCTCTTGGGGCAATCTTAGGCCCCTCTCGGGGCTCCTCTCAGGCCGCCTCATGGGCACTCTTAGGGCCTCATGGGCCGTCTTGGAGCCCTATCGGGGAGTCCCGAGAGGACCCCCAGAGGGCCCCAAGAGGGCACCATGATCACAGAGGCGTCTTGGGGCCCTCTTGGGGCCATCTTGAGCTTCTCTCGGGGCTCCTCTTGGGGCCCCAATGGTCGTGCCGACGGTGGTGCTTATGATTCTCACTGGGCTTTCGCCCATTTGGGAGCGTCGAGGTTGTTTGAGGACTTGGCACCACCGCCGCAGGCTCGGGGCGTCAATGGCACCACCGGCCCATCGGGCGACATCCGATTCCACTGGTGCACCCGTCACCGGTGGCAGAGCGCACCAGTGCACTCGGAACCGGGTTCCGAGTTCACCGGTACACTCTGCCACCGCTTTCGGAGTGCACCGGTGCACTCCTTCGTCGGTTTCGCTAATCGACGTCTGTTTTGCCGGATACATTCAGCATTTTTTGCACGTCGATTAGTGACGTGCCCCTGGTACACTCGAAGTCGCTTCTCGGGTGCACCCGTGGCCCACTGGTACACCACCCGTGGCCTCGGGGAGGCAGGGGGGAGGGTCCTCATCCTCCCTCTACGCCACCCCTCCCTCGTGCTCCTGGCCATCGTTCTTATTTCCCTCGTCCTCCTTCTCCGTACTCCTCGATACCTCCAGTAAGGGAGGGATGCGTTGAGGAGGGAGGCGATGCATAGGGAGGCGGCATGGCAGGAGGGAGGGATGCATGGAGGGAGGAGGGGAGGCAAAGATGGAGGACGAGAGGTGGGCATGAGAAGATAGGATGAGGTAGGAGAAGGTAGGAGGAGGTTGGCAGTAGGGGGAGGGAGGTGGGAGGAGGTCGGAGGACGGAGGAGGGAAGGGCGTCATTGTGGTTGCTCGTCACAGTCGTGATCCGCTCCGTTGTTCTGCGTCGCAGTCGCGATGCAGTAGGTAACCATTACTGTAAGTGATATATTTGTGTGCGTTTGCGTACAACGATCGCAAAGACTTAACAATCATTCTCGCCGTGGCTTTCGCATTATCGAATACGCCTACGGCGAGCCACCGCCGCTACCTGCTTTTTTTGGCAGCGCCTATGTGGCCAATCGGTGGGCTTCAGCTTGGCCAAGCTAGTCGGTGTGGCCAATCGGTGTGAGCAATATGTGAGCAGATTTTGAGGCGATTGTTCCCATTTCTTGTAAGTTCACAGGTTATTCGATCGTCGATCGTCGTCGTCGATCCTCGATCGTCCTCATTGTCGTGGAGCTCATGACCACATCCCGAAGCTCACGACCCCATCCTGGAGGATGGGGGTCGCGCAGCCCGTGGCTTGAAGCTGGCCTAGAGCTCTCGACCCCACCTTGGGGCTCTCTTCCCTACCTTGGATGCATGGGGGGAGGGGGGGATGGTTTTTTTTGTAATTCGCTAGACTTGCCGACCGAATCGAGAGGCCAATCCGCGCTCGTGCCGCCCCTCGGCACGCGCACGCCCCTGAGGGCCCTGAGGGTGGAGGGGAGAGGCGCGCAGACCAGACTATTATCTCTCCGCCACTCCGCTCCCGCAGGCGGGAGAGGCTAAGCGCCCCAGGGCCTTGCCCATCTTCGGGTGCAAACCTCCACGTATGCGATCCCGTGGCCGGCGACGCGCGTCATCCCTCGCTCTTGCCGCGGGGCTCCAGCGGGCCGCAGCACTCCCGAGCCAGGAGCCGCACGCACACCTTGGAATGCCCTCCACACCACGCACACGCAGTATCCGTGATGCTGCTCCACCCTGTGCTTCATCTCATGGTGTGGCGCTTCCTGCCGGCCGCTGGCTTGGCCCATGACAGTGGCCCCCGTCGCGGCTGTCACTACTGCCATGGCCGCTGCTGCTGCCGTGGACGAGCTGCCGCTCGTTATGGCCGCGCTTCTATCCCGCCGGCGAGCGAGCTCTCACGGCCTGGGCTGGCATTGGGAATGCCAGAGGCGACGACGCGGGCCTGGGGCCTTGGCCGACCTGCCGCAGGTGGTGCAGCGAAGCCACTGGCCGCTCCCCACCAGCGTGTGATTCGACACGTACAGGACTGGCGGGCCTGGTTCCGCCGGGCGAGGGCGCTCCGGCTTCGGGTCCACGTCGGCCCAGTCCCATTCGAGATTGTTGGGGCGAGAGTCGGAGGAGCGAGCTGGGGGCACGGGGCAGCGTTCGGAGGGGCGGCCCCCGGTACATGTCACTGAGGGGAGGTTTACTATCCAGCCCGATTGAGGGGTCGTTTGGGGGAGGAAGAGAAAATGAGAGAGAAAGAGAGAGAGTTGTGAGAGAGGGGGGGAGGGAGGGAGGGAGGGAGGGAGAGAGGGAGGGACGGAGGGAGGGAAGGAGGATGAATGCACAGGACCTGAATGCTGAAGGTGCACAGCACCAAAACTAGGTACCAATCAAGCGCCGCGGCGCACAGCGCCGTGACGCAAGACGTCAGAAGGTCCGCAAACCATTGGGGAGCCACAGGCACAGCAAGGGACCGTCTACCCTCATGAGGGCGGTGGAAAGCCTCGGCTGCTGGTCTGTTCATGGCGGGCACCCGGGTCCCTCGACAGACACGGTCGGAGCAGGCCAACTACTAGGCATTACACTATCCTGCGCGGGGTAACAGAAGGCTTAGAGGGCCACATGCGAACCCTACCCCTACCCCCCACGATTTCTGAGGGGGAGGGTGCGGTTCACTTCGCTCGTGACCTCCCGAACGAAGTGAACCCCACCCTCCCCCTCCGAAGCGGTGGGGGGTAGGGGTAGGGTTCGCATGTGCCCCCCTCAGGCTCGAGCCCGTGCCCAGCAAGTTGCCTCCTTTGGGCCTGACCCGGCAAGCCAGAGCTGGTAGCCCTTGGCCTGCACCCCGCGTCGCTTCAATCAGTGAACCCGCGGCCAAGAGCGCTCCAATCAAGGTGGTTGAAAGCTGTATGCCGCGGTCCCCGCCTCCGCAGCGTCATCGGCGGTTCACCTCAGACTGTCT